TGTAATATTTCTGTTTGAACTTAATATCACTGATACCGTTTCCATAATTTTAATATTGCATTCATTTCTCTGGGTATCGTAAAGGTAATTTCAAACGTATGACGTTATTTTAGGCGTACTTTTAACCTGAACATCAATGCTTTTATGATGTAGGTAAACAAAAGATTTATTGAATGTTTTTTTATATCATTTTTAAAAGAACAATTTGTGTATAACATTTTTACCTAATATACATCCTTAAATCCTTATTGTCTTTTACTCTTTCACCTTTTAAACATATAATCATGAAGATATTACACTGAAGTAGAAGACATTCTTGTGTTTATTAATTTCCTCCAAGAATATTCTACACACTTTACAATCAATTATAATTTATAGTCCGTAACCTACAAAAAAATAAAAAATCAATATAAGCAATTGATGATCTTATTATAGTTAATATTTGCTTTTTTATCGTAAGCATAATATAATTTCACGTCAGGAATATTTTTGCAAAATGTTGACATTTGCTTGGAAAAATATAAGAGCGCAAACGGTTTTTAACGTGCTCTCGGTCCGGCAATGCTGGTATGTTATTAAACAATTATACTTTTTGCCCGTTACATACAAACGGTAAGCAAACATTTGTAATTTTCACATATATCTTGTTATTCGCGCTGTACAACGTATTTCAATGACTTAATAGTCGGTTATTATCGTCGTAGCACAGATAATAAAAATGCCACTGTTACGGAAAAAGGAAACGTATAATCCAGTTTCGATCGATTAAATATCGCTTTAGTTTTCAAAAGCTCGTTGACATGTTAATGATGCAAAAGGAAAAAACATCCATTGGAATCGAGAATTTTTAATGAAATTACATTGATTTTTTTACTATGGTCAATGTTACATTGAAATAAAGCATACGGATGGTGCATGTGAAAATAATTCGGTAAAAATTAAACAACTTCTCCAAGACTGAGGCGAGCGAAGAATGTTGCCAGAACCATACAAATACGGCCGGTGTTGCTAATTAAAAGAAATTCCAACGTTATGCTTTTACTTGCAAAAAAAGGTAAAACGAAGCCGTGATGAGTCTCAAGGTGTGAGCGATGCCGTAAGTGGGTAGCAAAACAATTTAATTGTAAGCCCGTTCCACATCATGAACGAACGATGGGAATAAAACACTTTATATCGTATGTATGGAAATTGTGCCAATGTAATGTTTGTTGCGGAGGATAAGAAATGTTTATTGCTCCATGAAACAAAAAGCAAAGCTTCACAGATGGTAACATGATTGATATCATTCGTCCATGTGTAATTGCATTCCAATTTAAATATACAACTGTAAATCTCTTTCTATTACTGTTAGTGTTGCTTTATCATAACAAGATTAATATCGACCAGTATCATTAAGTGTCGTCTTATTTCCATATTATTTCTCTAGACAAATAAATAAAATCCATAGACATTCATTAATTTTTAAGAATCAAATTTATTTCTTAATATTTTAATATGAAATCATTAAATTATGTTTCATTTTTAAAAACTATTTTTTTTTCGTTGCAAACTACAAATCATTGAGCATTACTACTTCGAGCTTGTGGCATACATCTTACAGTAATCCGGGATCACGGAGTTACATAAGTAACTATAGGAGTATTACCTTTGTGAATTCGCTTTGTGCCTTAGTAATCCCGGAATATTATCAAGCCTACAAAGTTGAATAACAAAACATAATTAGACATAATAGAAGCGATTGATATGATTGATTCAGTAAATAATAGTGTATGACAGTAGCTAAACTAATTACTTGATAATAATTATTAAAGTTAATTAGTTGTGTAGGTGGGCGCGTCGGAAATAAATATATCAGTGAACGCACAATTAAACAGCAATGCAGTTGGAACGTTTCGCAATGCCGCTGCCTGTGCCAATTCTACTGTTTTTACGTTTCTAGTATCGAGCATTGACATACGAATAGAAATATGACAGAATAAGTCATTCAAAAATATATATAAGGCAACCTGATGCGTTGACTTGTTATAAACAATAAATTAAAAATAAACTGAATAGGTCGTACAATTCTGTTCATTTGTTGAATTGTGGCTCTCCCTTTTGGTATTAGACCAGTGACAAGTAATAAAAGGCTGTTACATATAACTCATGTACATGTATCTTGCAAGTAGAAAAATGTCACTTAGATTCACGTGACCTAAGGGATTAGAGCTCTATCGTGTCGGAGGCCAAGACCCACTTTGGGTCGCTGCGCCAACGCAGTAAGTAAGTAAAAACTATCGGGACACTGTAGTAATGACATGATTTACTGTTTCATTTCATCAAGTGTCATTTATGCATTAAAAAAGTGTCTATTTCCCGATTCCTTACCATATTCATTCAAAAGCAGCACATTAGAGCATCGCGTCGCGTCGTGCCGCATCGCTACGGCGTTTAATTGTCGCCGGCACTCGCGCGGATTGTTACGATTTCCTTACAAGGCGCAACAGTAATTTGTTTGATTGCCAGCAATTGCAACTCGATGTTTTAACCATTAAAATTGTAAACTCGGCCGCGGATAGCAAGAAATTGCTATGATTGCAGACTCGAGGTGTGTTTACCGACCGTTTTGCGTACACACTGCGAACGTATAAAAACGATAAATTTTCGATTCAGTGAGTGAACGCGCGAATTAGTTTTTTTTGCAATACGATAAATGTTTTAATTGTGTTGCGTAGTAAAAAAAAGTTCGCATAAACTCGACAGACACAATTTGTAAATGACAGTTCTATCATTACCATTGCAAAATTTTCCATTCGCTGTAGTAATTTTCCATTATGATAATATCAAGAATAGAATTTTTACAAAGAATAGTAATAAAGCGAACGTAACACTTTCTGTGCATTGATCCTCGACAACTAAAGACTACCTTTTATTAAATTAGTTTTTATAATCGGAAATAAAAATAGTCAAGTTATTATAGTCATGAAAAAAATTGTAAGCTGTAAAATCGTTATAAGGGTTCAAAAGCTAAATTGTAAGTAATAATTAACGCAACTCAACAAAACCATAACAATTACAGAACAAAGGTGAAAATATGCGTGAACAGGAAACAATGTGATCCATCAAATCTCACGCCCTTAACATAAACAGGCAAATCCTTACTTAATTTCACTCGCAGAATTCAATCAGAATGTAAGCTCCCATACCCCTGCGAGTAATGTTATAATGCCTTACATTATCCCCCTCTACCCCTCGCGTGTCCCTCCGCACCCCGCCCGGGAAACATCCGAATCGCGGCGACATCGTACGGAAACCTTTAATTATTATCAACACATCATTTTCATGCCAGCCTCCATGAATGTGGGGTCGAGACAAAATATTTTCTGTCCGTTCATTAATCATAAGCTCCGTTTTTAATTTCAAATTCATACACCAAATTAAAAAAAATTAAATTGCTAAGTTACATAGCTCATGAATTTGTAAAAAAAATATAAAAATAGTTAACTTTGCGTAAGTAAAATGTGGTTAAGTTATCAAATTTGTTAAAATTTTTCACAAGTTCCACAGAGTTAGGAATAGAATTTTTAATAATTTTACGTTCCAATAAGGTAGAAGAAACACTTCTTTATCGTCATAGAGAGGTTTGCAATCCGTGTGAATTACAACCCACGTCACTAAGAAGCCCCGATACAAACATCGCAAGACGGAATGAGCATCGATTTTGATTTACCATCTAAAAGATAAACATCAACCCTTCCGGCAAGCACGTGGGCCGACACGTCCCTTTAACGCATTTCATATTCCTATTTCCATTCCGTTCAACCTTCCTACGAGGATTATATTCTGGCTGCGATGTTTTCGTATCCTATTATTTCACAGGGTGAAAATGGGCCACCCGCCTCCTTACGCACATCGAAAGCATACATGTACATTGCGTGTCTGTACAGGATTGTGTATGTGTGCAGTTCCCGTATACGATGTGTGCGAGTGACGTCTCATCAGCTGTAAACCACTGTCAACGACTCGTCAAAATAATATTGGCTTAACGCTTAATTCCATTTCGCCTGTGGAACTGAAATTAGATATCTGCACGAATTTCATTAAAGTTTAATATTATACCCTTCCCTTGTATGTTAAAATGATGATGTACGTAATAATTGACAAAAACAATCTCAGTGGATTAGAGTCACAACTAAAAGCATGATTTAATGAATGGCTTCATTCGACTCATGTAATTGCAAAAACACACACGGAATAGACACCATTTCTTGTATCATTGGTGTTTGTACATCGCCTTAATTTAACTACTATTTGTATAAAGTGATATTTTAACGACTGATAGAATTTAAAATTAATAAAAGCGCAGTGTCCCTCATATCATGCCAAGTATCAAATATTAATTATTCAAACGCTATATGTGGCGGCAGTAGTCCGTGCCGTGGAAATAAAACAATGCCTTTTTCACTTATGAGAGTGTTTCGAATTGCAAATTTAGGGAAAAAATGCGAATGAACTACACTCAAAAGTCAAATGCGGCAGTGCGCGATAAGCAAGTGCCGCTTATGCAAGATCACGAATGTAATTGCTCCCTTGTCTGGCACGACACTTCACGTCCGAGAGAGACGGAATATTCACATCCCACAAGAGTAAAAGAGATGAAATACAAAATAGTCAACAAAAGCGTAAGCGACAAAAATGATTGATTACCAGCCGTCTTGCGCTGAGCTCTATTTAATCACTTTATTCCCTTTTCTCCGTTTGTGTTGGGATGATTTTGTATTTGTGTAATTTGTATAGCAAATGAGCGGGACTCCTTTACGTTGGCACTCGTTAATATCTTCACGGAAGATCAAGTTGACATTTGTGTCCGCGGGAACCGGATGTTTTGCGATATCATCGAATTTGAATATGTGATATATAAGAAAATTTTATTTTAAATGTAATAAACTAATACAACCTAACGAAAATCAATAGATAAATAATCGCCGTTATATTATTTATAGGCGTTGGTTATTACTTACCGCTCATATGTCCGTTTTCGTAAGGTGAATAATCGCCATTTTCCAGTCGATGTTTCTTGAAGGGATGTCCGGGGAACTGCGTGGCTGCGAGCGAGAGACCGACACCCGACGCGCGCTTCGGTGGTCGGCCCGGTCTGGAGCTGCGGACATTGTAGCACGTTACTGCCGTTTAACACAACACACTTAAACTACGGTAGGGGACGTAAAAAACAAAACATAACCGCTAAAATAAACGTGCCAAGCAGAACATGTAAAAATTGCGAAGGAATTTAAAAAAATGTATCATGCACGCTAAATAATCAAATGGCCGATTTCGTTAATGAATTTATCTAAAGAAATAAAGAAAATAATCCCTTCAAAACGTTCGTGAATTTACCCACCATAGTTGAAACATAAGAATTATTTGTTCGTAAAATCATAAGCAGCGCATCAAATAAGCTGCTTTGGAAGTCTTATCTAATAAATCAAGTTCTCGCGAGGGGGAGAGGTCTCAGATTTATTTTTATTTATTTCACTCCCCCAAGATTTAGCGCCACAAGACATCGGCCGTAGTTTCCACAATTTCACGCTTATTGTTTTCCCATCCGTGATTTACGATCGTGTAATAGAGAACAGTATATTCTTGGCCGCAATAAACTTTGTCAACTAAATCTTTGCTAAGCCTATTCGCCTTGACCGGAACATACGCACTGACCATTTGCGATATACCTACTCCTCTTAATTATATAACCTGTGGGCCCTTTAAAAACATACGTTCCAAACATATAGTTATGCAAATATTTACAATTGGCACTCAAATTTTCGATAACCGTTTTTAATAACAAAGTAAAATCTTGTACATTGGAGACTTGAGAATTTGTAACTAAATTATACAACTAACTCATAAAACTACCTAATTGTAAGCATTTCCTTCATTTTAATATTGAATTATTGGTGATATAATTATATCAATTGCATAAAGATTAAAATCTCTTTAAGCAGACATGTTCCAAACGGAATTAATTAATGCAAATAATGCGATAAATAATTTGTTCGTACAATTTAAAAGGACACATTATTATATTAACATAATTTGTGCAATGCTACTTGTGTCTAAATTATTGCAATCAAACCGGTTTTTCGAGATAAGGTCTAACGCTTCGCGATACTCTAACCATTTTACAAAATAATATTTTTTTTAAACTCAATAAAATCATACCTTAATTCTCTGAACTATAAAGTAACGTTATAATAAAAAATAGATGGTAGAGTTTAGCTCATGATTAATCAGGCTAACATCTTAAATCTGTGACTTATTTGGATGGATAGAGTAAGAAAAATATGAGACATTATTAAAGATGAGTTACCAGGCAATCATAAGCAGCCAATTACACGAGAAGCAACTAATCCGCACTACATTACAACTAAGCGTCAGAGGCGTCGTCCAAGTTCAGCAATTATCGGGGGAGCGATGCTGTTATCATAGTATCGGCTTACGCAGAAACCGAGTCTCGCCTATTTATTTTTATGTCAGCAGCCGTCATTATGAGACACTCCATTAGCTAGGATTGCGGCGACTCCCGTTTTCGGTTACGCATTGGGGCGTACTGTACGTGTTGACGTTGGAGTTTTCCTTGTTACATCGTTATTTAAAGTGATATAAATCTTTAAATTTTTTTTTAATTATTCTACAGAATGCAATTAAAGTCTCAAATATTCTATAAAATGTGACACTCTTTATTTAAAACAAACAACTGTTTTAGTTGTAGGGTATATAGTTGCAAACCGAAACAGAAAATTATATATGATACCTTCAATAATTTCATTAAATAAATGTAAAAAAATCACAAGTTTTTATTACGGGTTTCTTTTTCAGTCACCTTAAATTTTTATGGTTGTCAATTAGATTTCCATAAAAAACTAATTGTCTATTCACATATTTCAGTCAGCGAGTAGCATATGGAGCGTAGAGCTCGGGGGAAGTCTCGAAATCGAATATTGAAAGTGTCGAGCGACACCGATAAGAAGACGCGTGCCGCGACCGCCACTTAGCCGGCGCGTAATCTGAACACCGCAAAGCTCGCACAGATAAACACCCATTAAAATGCGTTCGATTTATTACTGAACGATTTTCGAACGATTTATATACCGACCGACGAGCGCACAAATAAGTCCGCAACAGGTACTTAAGCTTTGTTTCCGGACCAGAGATAACTTAAAAGTTAATTCAAGTAACCACCAGATAAGTCGATTATTTTAAATTAATTGTTGAGTAGACCAATATAGCAAAAACATACACACGAATTGAGAGTCTCCTTTTTGAATTCTAGTAAAAATAATACTATTGGTATGTTTTATCCTTGAGAGAAATCCAATAAGAAACTAGATACTTGAAAATTAACCACAGCAGTATACTTATACAAGATTTTATATCAACTTTCAAACAAATACAGTAAATCTAATGCTTTCATTTAACATAACGATGTGTATTTCGTAGGAAAAGAATCCAACCCCACAGTGAAACTAACACCACGGATAGTTTTGCTGTATGTTATATTTGTTTGGCAATATTCATCAGTCACGAGCGGCACTGATCAAATAGCAGCCGCAAGTCCCCATACTGATGTACTTTGATAGATAGTTCAACAAACACAACTATTGTATTAAATTCTGCAAAAAATACAGCAATAACATTTACGAATAGTTTACACAAGATTGTGTTACTATTTTTATGTAAGCTATTTGAATGCGTTAGCAAAAAGGGAGTAACTAGAAAGCTTTTTCAATAGTGATGATTTACATTTAACGTTTAATTTTTCCTAAAAAATATATAGAAATTTTATTATTAAGAACTCCATTGTATTGTCCTCATTTAAAGATCTAATTTTGAATTTGTTTTAAATTAGTATTGAAAGTACATTTTCAACGGAAATATTTATATAAACAAAACTTAGTTTCTATAGCTGACTGAGAATAGAACTAAATTTTCGTAGACTGGATGTTAATGTAATCATAATTGCTAAGTTTACATGTATAGTTATAAGCAAGTATACATACATAAGCTTTATGTTTCGGTAACTACTCTAGTACGCTTTCAACTAAAAAATAACAATGATTAAAGTGAGCAGGTAATGTGAAGTGAACAAAGCGGACGACGTCGTCTGCCTGCACTATAAATAGAGGCGAGGGTCTCTGTTATTATATTTGTGTTACTATTCTCGACTCTTAGTGGACGCGTTCACACTCACTACCAATTACTGACACTAAATCATAACATTTACGGGGCGTAAACATCCTTCCCCGACTACAAGGGAGTTTCAACAAACTGAAAAGACCAAATACGAGTCGCTGACAGGCTATCGCGAGCTAATAGTCATATTATGTTTACAGTTATCCCGGCACCGCTCCTCTCTACGGGTATATTTACACGTCGCTCTATAACCCGTATGGGAATGTTTATGTATTAAATTAAACTCTTTCAAAACTGTTCTTTATCCTTAAAACATCAGATCCATAAGCGGGCCCTTTATAAAACAATTGGTCGCGTCGAAATACATCCGGTGGTGTGCCGGTTTAATCACGTAACGGGATTCTTTCAAACCAGCATCAAATATTCAAACTATAAATTATCTATTATAGTATATCCATAGTTGAACTTCGACTGGGATTTAAAGTTTGTATCAGACGTTGGAGTTTTTTTATCAAATCTATTGTATGGTATAGTAATAAATCTAAATCTACGAATTACCTATTTACTATAGCGCTCGTAACTACATTACAAAATAAATACAAAGAATATATATTTTAAACAGTATTGTGCTAGATTCATGCGAAAGCAGATAAATAGACATAAATAAAATTAAATTGGTTAAGTGGATATCCCAGGATATTTATTTTTCGAGCAAAAAAACGAACACACCAAAGATAAGTTTACGTCATAGTCGTTAAGTATTGGTAGATTATAAAATTTGCTCCACTCAGGTCAATGCCTTATAACCTCTTGTGGTTATTAAAATGATTCGAATAGAATCATGGCTGGCAACACCAAACAATGGGCCACTGTTACAAAAATGGCTCGGGAATCGGTAGGCAAGGTAAAACAAACGCGCGTAATCTTATCTACGGTAAACTCAAACGCAGTAGCAGTTTGTCTTGGGTTCAGTACAAACATGATAAATGATTTTGTTTATAAAAAAGCGATGCTCTATTTTCCTAAACGAGTTCCGGTTGAGGCTAGATGAGATCTACTTGATTACACATAATACCTATTCACCTTGAGAAGTACCTGAGGAAGAAGAGAGACGCACATTATTGATATTGTATGACATCATAAACTAATTAATGAGATTTATTTATAACAAAAAAGTTCTAATCAAGAACATAAAGTTAGGATATAAAGTGAAGCAGGTATCGTGCACTAAACATGGTGCCATCAAAAATAATGATTTAATAAAGCGGAAAATTTAATTGAAGCCAAAAATTAGAGGGAACGTCCACAGTAACAATAAAAAGTGAAAGCAAAGCCGCGTTTAATCGTGTCGTAAAAATAAAAAATTAAATAAAAATGCTTGGGGGCGGAAAAGTTTCGGGTTCATAAGTCGACTTTACAATGATTCCATGTTCAGATGGAGCAAGATGCCCCCTAATGTTACCTGTCCCTCAGGGCACGGCCAAACTTGATTCTAAATAAAAATAAATGTACAAACAGCTGCGGATTTAGTATTATAATTATAATTTACGATATTAATTAAAAAATCTTCTATCTGTAATGCTTTGTTATTATTTAATACTCTCCAATTTGCAGAATTTGTAGAAGTTGTGTTTTGTTTATTTGACCATTCATAAAATATAGAGCACCTATTACAGAGTTCCTATTCTCCTACGAAACAATGATTAAGTACTAACAAAACTAGATAAGCTTAAGAAAGTTATTTAAAACAGAAGCATTGTTAGATGATGCTGCATTATAAAAATACCACGTGTAATGTTTTATTCCTCAGCACAATACACAGATAGAGCAAGTCACTTTCAGCGTCAGGTAGCGTCTACGTTTCAATTTCTCCGAGGCATTTTATTTACAAAACTAATTACGTTTGTCTGATAGGATATTAACCAGCTCCCGAACACTCTTGATTTGAAATCAGTTAATAAAGACATTCCCAACATACTTATTACTATGTTAGATCTCAACTAATTTTGATTTGAACTGATTCCAACAAGCGATAAATTTTACAAACTATATGTGGCAAAAGAACTAAAGCACTATTAAGAGGATCTTTTAGTACTTTTTGTAATGAAATTATGTAATTAAATAACAAGTAATATATCTAAAAATATTGTTTGTGTATTAAATAAAACTAAAGGTAGATTGAGGTATATGAAAATAAACTTTATTGTCTTCCTATAATAAATAAATCTCTAAAATGTTGAGTACTTCGTGTTTTTCGGTAAAGAGGGACGTTTCGCTGCCTTTTTTTCTAATTTTTATTGCTCATGGCACGAATTCAGCGGCACGCCACGTGGTTTGGGTAATTGAAATGTCCAAACATTGAATTTATGTTCGTACTATGATAGCTCTATTTTCTTTTTTATAACAAACTGTTGCTGTTTCATAGCTTACGAATTCTATTGTGCAATAGAATGATGAGATGACGTCATATTGCTCGTAGAGAATTTCAAATAACAATATTCCGGTTTGATAAAGTATATCAAAATCATACATACGAATTGTTAAGCACACACTCGGAGCGGAATCTTAAATATTAAATGGCAGCCGAAGCCCACTCTCTAACACCCCTTTCTACAGCTGCGGGGGCCACGCAATCGGGCCCCGAGGGACAAGCTCCTGTAATTAGCGGTTGTTCATTTCTTAATTTCAATATTTAATTACAAAGGAAACTCGATGACTGCTGAGAAGAAAGAGACGTCATCTTCAGAAAGACTTTAAATCCGTTTTGCAACATTCGTAAAGAATTACACCCGTTAGAGGCTTCTTTGAGCGTATTTTGACTTTAAATATAAATTACATTTTACTTGGGGAGTTCTAAAGATTAGCTCAATTTACTTTTCCTTTTATTAAGATAATATAATATGCATGTATATGTTTTGAAAAGCTCTTATATATATTATTCAAAGTGTTTCCGTGATAACAATAAGTATGAAGTTTAGAAGCAATATCGATTTATCTGAATACAATTAGTTTACAAGGTTTTTCCGAATAAGAATCGAATAGTTCATAGTAGTTAATAGTAGCACCTATTTATTTAGGACAAATATTAAATTTAACTAAGAAATATGACTCGTTTCGAGACATTAAAAATCGATAATGTACAAGAGACATCTTAAACATGACTTTTATTCAGAGCGGGTGAAACTCCATCTGCGTAACACGATCTGGCTCCTTGAAGAGCCATCTTACAGTTTCCCTTTGTCCAACCCCATTGTAGACTGTTATAGCTCCCGACATATTAACGTTTCATTTCATTTCTTCCGCGCTTTTATAACAAACTTTTATTTGGATTCAATGCATATTAAAAATTCCTTATACTTTCTAAGAATAACTTTGTAATCAATTGTGTCAATAAAGAATGTAATTTGATCTTACGTGTTTGTTTCAGTATGTACAAGTCAATGAAATATTAAAGACGATAAGAGCAAAGTCTTGATCATTTACAAATGAATTTCTTTAAAGATGTCATTTGTTACTTGTCGTATTTACAACAATTGTATGATAAGAATCTCAATGTATGAATTAATGCAAAAATAAATGGATTTAAAGTTGTTTTGTGTCTGGAATTAACAATTTGGTTTTAAAGGGATTTTTCAATCACTCGTCATCGTGCACTGCGTTTGGCACGCTTTGTTCGCAATGTGTTGGCGTGGACAGGACTATTCTCGTTTGTTGCGTTCTCCTCAATTATACAATTTCTGAACGAGTGACCGCGACACCCGCCCCAAGGGTCAGACTCTCACGCCCACGTCCGTTATAATAAAACGTAAATTGTGTTTGCTAAAGACATTTATGTAATAAACTTTATGACGAATTATAAAAGAGTAATTTTTAATTATTTTGATGAAAACCCTAATCTAATATTACAAAATTGTAAACAAAATAAATTTTTGACAACTTAAATGTATAACACTATGAAACCACATTGTTGAAGCATTTTTTCAGAATGTTTGTTTAATTTCTAGTAGTATTTTGAAAACCAAAAACAGTTTTTCAATTATTTTTAATCATGCACCGTCACTATCCTAATATCAAATCAACTTTTTGCTTGTGGCGCCAAAAATTAATTTGAAATTGGATCCGTTTGTATTAATTTTCAACTATTACATTCATTAATTTCCAAATAGTTTCCTTTTTAATATGAAATAGCTTTCTATTCACATTGACACGCATGAAGGGAACAATGAAAAAGTTTAGCTACTGTTCCCGCCATCTCGGCCGCATTCGGGGCGGCCATTAAAAAAAGAATCGCTACCTGCCAGGAACACGTTTTGTTAGTTCCTAAATTAATTCCGTCTAATTCTGGCAACAAATAATGTCGAGTCATATAAGTCATATGCTGTGTCGGCGGCTTTTAACTACTTTCGTAAGCAAAAAACACCAAACATTTTGTTCATCAGCTACCATTAGAAAGACACTTGAAAGATAAAGTTACACTATTTGATTGTAAGAAAGTCAACTTGAACGTAGCCGTGTGGTTTAATTTTATAACGGGTTAAAAAAGGATACTAAACTTTATGGCCTCTTTTAATGATACGGCATTAACAATTAGTTCATTAATATATGGATTTAATCAATTTAATAGCGACATAGTCCTCGTAACCATTAGCTGTTGAGTGATGGGATAGCTTAATATTGTAGTGTGCTTACGTTTCTTTCTCTACAGAGGTAACAAAGTGCATAACTCCCAAAACTAACATTTTATATAACCAAGATGAAAGACAAATCAATTTTCAGTCTGTAGAATTAAAAAATATTACGTCTTTCTTCTCAAATATTGTGTACATAAATTCCTTCGCGCGGCTAAGTACGTACAATTACCCGCCCACGTGCGCCGGCAACTTTTGTTCTGTTTCTTCCGAGCAATTATTCACGGAATAATTTAATAACTAACAAAGCTTTGTTCGACTCATGTTCAACTTCATTTTGTACGTTTTATTTAAAAAATGAAAACAAACAAGCGCTAGAGATTTGAAACAGAATATAGTCGTGGACGTGTGATCGTTGCCCGAACCAAAATAAATGTTATGATTTGTTAAACAGGTTATTAGGGAAACATCGGCGCTGTCGACAGCCGCCGAGGAAGTGATCTATTAAAAATCCAGCCAAGTGCGATGCTACGCGCGAGCAATTATTGTACCGTGCATGCAATTACAGCTGAGGTTTCACTTTTAAGGTTAATTTTAAACATAGTTGCGGTGACAGAGACCTCCAACTATTTTGACATAAAATATTAGAGGACATTTAATGGTGTGATTATATCATAAATGACTATATTGTATTTTAAATATTCTTATTCAAGGAACAATTTTAAATATTACAAATGATTGTATATGTAACAGGGACGGACCATAACAAAGTTCTAATAATGCATTAAAAGTAAAATATTTCTAAAAGTAATTTAGTTTCAAATTATTAGATTATTAGTAGAAAAGTATTTCATCATTTTATATACGATGTATCCGCGCATCTTAAAATATCGGCGGGAATTTTAAAGTAAACAAAAGTTATTCATAAATCAAGAACGTAATAGTTACATTCTGACTATGCGAGTACATCTGAAAAATCTTTTGTTTGATCAGACTAACACATCTGGATGTTGAACAGAAGTTCATAATAAAATATGAAGAAAAAACACGTTAAGTCCTTTTGTATCGACCGTTTCTGTTTGTCTTACACTACGATTAACATGTCTTGATACTGTTTCATTATTTTTAACCTCCACACATTTCTAGGTATAACGAATGCGCATAAATATAAATGGGCCATTTTGAAGCGACGGTATCTGATATCTTTTGATCTTTACCAATCAATGAACAAAGTTAATATAGGTACAAAAAATATAAAACTTGCTCTAGGGGCGAGAGACATAACACTCTAATTGCTTTTATTATTTTCTGTGTATAAGAAATACAATTAGCGGGCATGAATAATGTCCACGTCGAAGCTACATTTCATTAAATGCCAGTCGTACCGGTTTGCTTATTTTAACAGAAGTTTATTTGAAGCGAAGCAGCTGGTTGTGTCCGTGCAAAAATTAATAGTTCTAATCTCCT